GGCTGCTCTTGCCAATGCCGAAGGCAGTCAGGGGCTGCCGCTGCAGCTCCTGCTCGAGGCTGTCGTGGGGAACAGGCCAGAAATAGCCTGTTCCCAAAACCCTGTTTTTGTGCCTGAGTCTTAGGGTAGGTCGATCTTATGAGGGCCCGAAAGTGGCCCTCCGTTTCAGGCAGAAAAGCCCTGATATAGGCTGAAAACGAAATAGGGCCTGCAGGCCCTCGTTTTTCAGTCTTCAGGCTGAAACAACAGGGGCCTGTAAGCCCTTATTTCTAGGCTTTTAGGCTGGAAATGCGGGACGGGCCCTGCAGGCCCGTGTGGCTACACAGTATGCCACAGTCCGGGTCCGTATGTTCAGTTGTCCTGGTCGGTGACCGGGTTACCGGATGTCTGGATTAATCCAGACACGGGTCCGGGCCCGGTGTATGGTCTCTGGATGTCAGGGTTGGGGCCTAATGGCAGCAAATCGGAATTCCAGAGAGTAGACATGCCTTGAAGTTCAGAGAAAGCCAGCAAAAACCGAAAATTTTGAAGTACAATAGCAACTGAATTGTGGAAGGTGCTAGGGTCAGAATTTCAGAAAGAACATCTCAGTCCAGAAGCCAAAAATTACACATTCGAAAAAACAAAAAAGTTCGCACGGCAAAACACAGATTTACTAATTCAGAGAGTCGAGAGCCTCAAATCCGATAATTCCAAACCAAACTGCAACTTGAAGAGATGTGCAAGGAACATGAGCAATAGCGAACTTCAGCAATCAAACAGCATCATACACATGAGACGAGATAGTTGTGACCTCGAACCAAAAGCAGAATTGCATCACGAGTTTCACCAAATAAGAGCACACCAAAAGCTCATAATTGACAATGCTGGAATAGTCTCATGATCATCAATCGAAGAACCAATGTTGATATCCTATCTGGCGCTCGGCGCCCAGACTACGAATGGCAGATCCTATCTAGCCTAGACTACAATGCCGCTGATGACGTCAACAGCTTTTCAAGTACGAGCAGACCTCGGCCAATACCGCACGCGTCAAGCACCAGGTATGTCTCTCGTATCACTCACAACCTCGTTCCCCAACTCACAGATGGCACTTGCACCCAAGGACCACCATGGGCCTCATCCAGCATACAGCAGCACACCTCGACTATGGCTGCCTGCTCCTTCCAGCTCGCCCGTGAGCGTGTGAGCCTGGCAGGCGATAGCGCAGCAGCGCTTGCGCACAGAGCAGCCAGTGCCCGAATGTCCAATGCGAGCAGGCCCTTCCCTATATCGAAGTGGCCTGCTGCTGCGTGCTGTGTTGCGGTGCTGGACCCAACACAGAAGCTTCCGGTAGGCCAAGGGAGGCTGAGCCTCTGTCCAAACAAAACAGGCCCAGGGCCTCCGACAGTTACCCGTGCCCAACTGCTCACAGCCTGTGCTGGGTCCATCCTGCGTATCTCGCCCAGGGCCTTACTTAGATACATTTGATAAAAGGAAGCCAGGGCCTGGGCGCCTTCAACCAACTGGTGCTGCGCAACTGCCTGAAATTCCCCAGTTGCGGGTTGACCCCAAAATAGGCCTGTAGGCCTCGGTCGGGCCTGCCTTCACTTAGGGTGGCAGACTGTACTGGAAATGGGGCCCTGTAGGGGCGTATTGAGGCCTTGTGCCTCGCAGATGGGTGAAAATAACGGGCGAAGGAAAGTCAGAACTTTAAAGCACCAGTACACCACATATCAGCCCGCGGGTGTCAGTATGAAACCCGCACCACTTTGGAGGCCGCCAATTTCTTTTTCCGACGGCGGGCCTGGTGGTGTGGTGCCTCCGAGTTTTGCTTGTGGCGACAGAAACTTTCTGAAGGCTGGGGCCGTGTACTAGCGGTTTAAAAGCAGAGAAATTGAGAGAATCAGTACGACAGAATAAATTAATTAGTTGCCCAATCCATGATCAAGGAATTGGACGTAATCAATCAATCATTCAATAGATCAACTACCTAATCAAGTTATCGACAAAGTCTGAATCAAACTGCTATGTTGATAAGCAGATCAGGTTGTTCTTCTTGGTCTGCTCTGATGCCAAACTGTCACATGCCAATCAATAGTGGATAGGCATGGTGCAGGAGATCGAGGAAAGAGACTTCAACTTGATAGCCCTGCCGAAGAATAGTCCCCACAATAGTCCCCAATTGTCTCTGTTGAAAGGATTCATGCTGCGGACACCCTGTCCCGCTTCTAGGGGCCTGACGCGACCCAAGTCCAGGGCCATATCTGTAGGGTAGGCCGTAGGGCCTAGAGGCGGAAACGTCGTAGGTGAGTAGGTGTTACATGCCCGGTTGGGCAATGAACGAAGAGCCAAGGATCCGCAAAGTGATGAAAAGGACAGAAATGGACAATGCAGTGTGAAAGAAACTCAACAAGCAATGTTCATCCTGATATATGCAAGACGGTAGTTTGAAACACAGCGAGAGACTGGGATCTAAGTCCTAACTAGACTAGGACTGACATGACATTTCATGGTACAGCATGCATGTAAGAAGAGGAGGGACACCAAACTGTTGGACGTCGTAAGCGTGCAAGAACCGACCTTTCTCACACAGTATCAGATAGCGGAGCGGAATGCTAGAATACCAATGCTCAACCAATCAATGTCGAAGTTCAGACTCAACGTTTCACATCATCGCTGTGAGGTGTGGTAGGCCTGGCGCCATACACAGAAGTGCGCCAGGTCCCAACCATACACAGACGAAGAGGGGGAGGAGCAGACGAAGAAGAAGAGGGGGGATGKAAATGTAGTCCACACCAAGTCTTTGACACAAGTCCAAAATAAGCCCTCGTCGAATGTCTGAATCCAATGTCGAGTCTGAATCCAATGTCGTCAAGTCTCACAGTCACAATCTCTCCCGTAGGCTGCAGATGCTGAGAAGCCAGGTAGCGAGAGGGTGAAGAGGAGATGGTGGACTTAGAAGAGGAAGCGGAAGAACTCTCTCTCTCTCTCTCTCTCTCTCTCTCTCTCTCTCTCAGTCCAGTACTAACCTGTGATGTTGGCGCTGTGATGCAGGTACCTCGAAGAAGAAGCTGAAGCTATGGCGCCACAGGTAAGTCTCCCTGGCCTCCGCCAGCCATCTCCAACTCCAACACTACTCGACTCCTATCTGCACCCAGCGCTGAAGACTACAGCCTACCTTCTAGCGCCCAGTGCTGAAGACTACTGCTAACGCTGCCTCCTGCAGCGCTCCTGAAGACTACTCCTGAATCCTGAAGACTACAGCTGACAATTAATACCCTCCCCATGCCTGTAGGGCGGGCCAGTCTTATATAGTGCTGGCCCGTCCAGGAGGCTGCTCTTGCCAATGCCCAAACGTGCTAGACCCTGAGGAAGCTTCCGGGAAGTTTCCAGGTATCTTCTGGCTGAAGCCTGAGGAAGCTTCCGGAAAGTTCCAGGGTAGCTTCTGGCTAAAGCCTGAGGGCCTATAGGCCCTTGTTTTCAGGCTGTCAGGCTGAAACGCCACGGGCCTGTAAGCCCTGGATTTCAGGCTTACGGCCTGAAACAGACACGGGGCCTGTAAGCCCTGGATTCCAGGCTTTCAGCCTGAAATAGACACGGGGCCTGTAAGCCCTGGATTTCAGGCTTTCGGGCTGAAACCGACACGGGGTCTGTAAGCCCTGGATTTCAGGCTTTTGGCCTGAAACAGACACGGGGCTTGTAAGCCCTGGATTTCAGGCTTTCGGTCTGAAATTCAGGCTTTCGGCCTGAAGGACGCAGGGCCTGGAAAATGGCCCGCGTGTGCAGGCGCAGCATGCAACAGTAGGTGTGTCGGTACCAGAAAGGTCTCAGGTCGGTAGAAGTCCCCTGGTACGCGACAAGAAAAGTCCAGAAGCGTCCAGTCCACGTCAACAGTCCCAAGTCCAATGCAGCATGGCCCAGGAAAGTCCGGAAGCTACCGGGCCGACAAAATGTTTGCAGCAGACAGGCCACGGCCGGTCAGTACCGATCAGAAGCAGGCCAAGTCCAGCGGAGGCAAGTCCTACATATAGCTGCTACAGTGCAGCAGTTCATCACTTGTTCAGTTGCGACATGCGGAAGTGCTGCTGCTGCTTTTGCGTCGAGGCAACTTGGGCACTGTGCGCCTGAAGAAGAAGAGGGCGCTTGAGAACTACTCCATGGCTAGGCTAGAGGTAGAGCAGGAGGACGACGACCATAGCTGCCGAGGTGTGAGCAACCTGAGTGGGTTTATCCAGGGTAACGATCCAGGGTAGAGACACAGAGAGACGAGAGAGAGAGGGAGGCAGAGCGAGTCAAGCCAGAGAGAGAGAAAGACGGGAGAAGCCATAGCCGCTATCTGGTCGAGGCCCGTTGCATTGTGTGTGTGTGCATCAGAGCCGCTGAAGGCAAACATTCTTGTATGTTTATTATACTATTGGCGACAACATCTTCAAGTGTTGATTGTGTCTCGATTTGGCTTCTCACGTGGGAACTCCCATGCAAATGTTCGTTGATGTATGCGAAGTTGAACTTGACGAGTACTTGGTTCACTTCACTGCCCAGAATACAAGTCAGAGGCTGGGCATACCCCGAAGAGTCATCAACTCTCTCTCTCTCTCTCTCTCTCTCTCTCTCTCTCTCTCTCTCTCTCTCT